AGTCTGCACTTTCTTCTTCACTTTCATAACACATTTTCCAATGGGAGACGAATTCCAGAACTCTGACCAGTACACCGGCGATAAATAAATGTACAAGTAGAATGTTATTGCAAATGGAACAACTTGTAGGACAGTAAACGCCAGAGTTACACGAGCCACGACTATCGTATTAGCTGTTGAACAGGTCATAATAAAATCCATCAGGATACTCGGTAACTGACTGAGAGCTTGAATCAGGTAGGGTACAAAAAAATCTTTGTGCTTGTGTAGAATGAGACAAACTTGGACAGGTAATGAATCACTATTCACAAAACGTCGACGATGTCTGAGAAGGTGTCCTAAGACTATAGTGTTCATTACAATGTAGACAAAATAGAATGCAAATAAATGAATGCGTGTGATAGTTGCATCCAAGATATATCCAAGGGGAGTGAAGTTTTTACATTGAACAGATCGCAATTCTGCTGGTTGATTTTGACGAACTGTAAAGATTCCAGGAAGAGTAGTTAACGAACAGATGATTACAATAATAGAAGAAGCTATAACTGAGCGACGTCTGGAGTCATATAAGCTGTAGTTTCTAAAACATTCAATTAACACTCTTTCTATAGCTACACTGGCAATAAACCAATTGTACATAGAAACAAGCGGAACATAGACAAATTTTGAATGAATAAGACATTGAAGATCAGCAAATAGATATGGTTTTGGTAATTCTTTGACGTGTAACACTATTGAAGCGAATGTGAGGTGCATCAGGCCGATAAATATCGACACAATTGACAGCATTATCAAATAGATTCCCAAATTTGTTATACGTATTTTTTTGCACGAATACGTTTGTAAACATAGTATTCCATTTAACAAAAGGAATACACCAAATATAATAGCGATAGTTATTCGAATTGAAGCTCCATTTGGAGCTACTTCATCGAAAGGTATAAAGAAAGACCATAGATTTTTAGATACTTTTTCTTCCTCACAATATTTTCCGGTAAAACAAGGTAAGCATTGACATCTTGGCTTAATATTCTCTTTAAACACACAATAGCCGTGATTTTCTACACAAGTGTTGTTCTCCGAAGGACACAATGTTAAATTATAAAACTTTAAACAGACGGCAATATTTCTTACACATTGAAATTCATCCATTTTTTTACTGGGAATAGAAGTTTTTCTTGAGAGGCTGCTTTTTATAATAACCGTCACTTCCCACTTTTTTTTGCTCCTCCTTCAAAAACGTAGAAGGTTCGTGATATAGAATAGTGCATCCACACCTATGTCATACGTATTCTACACGACAATGAAAAAAATATACTTTTTTCTTTATGTTTGAATTACTCATTTAAGGGTCGTTCACATGTGTAAATGTTATATTTTTCTTACTCATATAGGTGTGTAGATGAGTTGAAATAGCTAGGTCTTTACTTTCTCTGACTTTTTCTCTTAATGAAAATGCTCATATGGGACATAAAAATGTAGCGATACACTTTTTCCGCGTGAATATGAACTGTTTGCAGCAGAATCACATAAGAAAGAAACGAGTACAAACACAACAACGCGCACGAGGGTGTGGGTGTGCAACTAAAAGAGAAATCCTTGCCCACACTCAACAGTCATACATGCGGCATGATTACCATGCAAATGTAGTTTTGCCAGTGTCTTCAGTCAGTTGAAAGATCTACTTTGGTAATGTGAATCGTATGATGATAAATACCTTGGCGTTTTTCAATATGTCAAGAAGATATCTGGCTTATTTAGACATAATTCGATTTTCTCTAAGATCTAGAATGGTCAGTGTCTACGAAGAAAACAATATATATTTGATCAAAAGAAGAAACTGATGACTAGATTGAGTTGTTCACATTGTTATGCTGCAAGCCATCTGCAAGATAAAGAACTCCACTATCTCCGCTTTCATTTTTAGAAAGATTTAATTGAATGAGTGTCTACATTCGAAACAGCAGTAAGAGTTTGAAGAAAACGAAAAGTTGCGATCCATTGTCTGATTATTTCGCAAAGCATTTGCAAAATTCTTGAATTAGTTTTTTCTCTTCCTTTATTATTGACAAATAATTTTCTTATTCAGACGTTTCACTAATCATCAGACTACCTTCTTCAGTGCAAATTTTATAACAATAACAAAAACAAACTATAGATAGATCTTTTTCATTTCTTTATAATACTGGTACAGAAAAACAAGACGGTAAACTGGATAAGGAATGACAACTGATTATCACTTTTCTTTTTCCGTACCAGTATTATGAGTGTGGGTGTGGGATTTTTGTTAACAAGGGTCTATTTACAGCGACAAACACCTTAAATTTTTGAGGATTTTTTACGTCACAAGGCGTCGTTAAATTGTCGAAGATTTTTACATGGACCGTCATAAGAACAACTCCTAAAAAATGATTCAAGTCATGTTGAATAGCGCATATCTTCCGGCTTCTGGTCAATAGTGTAAATGATCATGATCAATGAAGAAACATACTATTGGCATTTTCGAATGCAAGAAACAACGATATATTTCTCTGCTATGATTGTTAAGATTTTTTTTTCTATTTTAGGTTTAAAAATAAAACCAAACTAAGATAATGGCATGATCTATCTCTCCTTGTACTCAAAGCTTTGAAAAGTAAATATTGAGACACATAATATAGAAACTATTGAAATCGAACATTTTTTTATCCAACAAAAATGATTGATTATCTAACGAATCGTGCTTCCATTCAATAATTGTTAAGTATCCAATAAATTGTGTTAATGTAATATGTAACTACCCGTCTCTATCATATTCAAATGTGATTAGAAGAATCAAATCGATCAATGTAACTATCTGTGGGTTTTTTGATTGAACTGTATGCAGCAAAAATAAGTATGTTTACATTTGCACTTTTAGGGAAACAACCGAAATCTTACATCGAGAATTGAAGGATAGAGAAGGAGGAGATGTTTTGATTTCATTTGATTTGCATTGCTAAATTTAATTCAATCATATATGACTCAATGAATTTCTATATCTTTACTATTTTGATGTTATATACTCGAGATATTGTCATAAGACTTTAAATTTGATCAGGCTTTGTCATTTATCACATCAATTAGAATTTCATTGAATAATCTACTTTTTCTTTTTTTGATTCTTGAAAAAACATAGTTCTTTAGAGCTTAAAAAAGCTTTATTATATGATATAAAAGAGACATTGAGAAGAAACTGTTTTCATAGAAAATTAAGAATATAATCTTGATTCATATACTATGTATGTAAAATATAAGCACACAATTCATGAAATGAATGATCTCGACAAAAATAATATAGATAGAATTCTAAATCAATGAGTTTCACAGAAAAAAACCTAGTATTAACAAAGACCGACTAGAACAACTTTCAATCACTTTTTATTTTCAATATTTTGTTTTCAAAATGTTATTCATTCATTTAGAAATTGTTCTTGTCTAACTGGTAATTGATGATTCACCTGCATTAGAATATAGAACTATAAATAATTCTTCAAATTATAATCTAAATGCAATGAACGATAGGTTACAATAACTATACTTTGCAAGTGCTAAATTTTCTTATTGATGCGGCTGAGTCTACCAACGACGATCTATTTATGTTAGGCTTGATAGAAATGATTCGTAAAGAGAAGAAAATTTGTGCAGAATATGGAAGCAGGATAAAAAAAGCAATTATGAAAAAACATGAAGTTGTCGTATGATTTGTATATCTTTATCTAATACACAGAATATTTCGACATTTAACAGATTGCCTGTTACTTTCTATTTTTGAGAATTTAAAGAATAAACATTGATTGGTAATTTCTGATAGATTGACATGGTGATGCGAAATAGTAAAACAGCTTACAAATATGTTAACGAATCAATCAATGTTCTTTTGAAAATATTTCGGTAGATCGTCTTTTTTTGTCAGAAAAATAAAAGAATTCATTGATGTATAAATAATAATGAGTTATTCGATGTCTTCTTTTCAATCATCATCACATATATATGATTTAAGAGTAATTAGAAACTGAGATAATTAATATTAATAAGAAGCGTTTTATTTCATATGTTTTAACGAGTATTGCATTGAGATATTCATTCTGTTGTTTGTCTTAAATTTGAAATAACGACAATGTTGACATTGTTTTATTTGAATGTTGCCGAAGAAAAAAAAAGAATTTTTTTTCTTTCTATTCAATAAGAATTTTGTTGTTCTATTAAAGACATCATAATATTATTACACCTGTATGTTTTTTCTCAGTTGTTACTTGTCTCGTAAGCAAACGAATAAAATCTGTCCTATAATATTCATTTGATTTGAAGCACCATACTTTTTTAGAAATCTATCAACATAAAAACTGTTGTCAAACATCGAGTGTGAAGGTATGTAGGAAGTAAGAGAATAGTGGCGTTTTTTAATTCGATATAAGAACTTCTTGCAATATTTCGCAACATACCTTTCAAATAACGTTCTAAGTTGTTTTTCTTCCGAAATTCAAATTTGATTTATTAATAATTTCATTTGAAGTTTGTTAGTAGAGAATGAAAACAAAAAACTAATCAGTATAGCATTTTGAAGGGTAAACAATTAAAAAGTAGTATACTTTTTTAAAATAATAATGATAATAAAATTATGAGTTTAAACAATTTGAAACATATTTTAATTCCAGTAGGATTTTAGTATACTTTCTCTAATGCAAATGTTCTTGTTAGATTTTAAGACCTTTTGTGAAAAACTATACTTTTCTATTCACAAGTATGATGAATTGAATATGTTCAAATGATAGATCCTGACTAATTAAACAAGATTCTGTATTGGTTCTAGAGACTACTACAATGAAGAATATATGCATCGCTTTTTAATACTTAATAAATAATATTTTTTATACTTATTTTTATTTCACTGAACATGGAACAAAACTTTCAAAAATTTTTTTAAATGCATTTGTTTTCGTAATTTTTTGCAGTGATTGCCATTGGCTAAGTTGAAGAATATGGCAAAATCAGTTAATACAAATTCAATAGAAAAATCGTTTGATATAATCGAACGTAAGGCTGTTAATCCAGTCGGACGTCTTGGTTCTCTCTATGATAGTTTTCGAGATATTATAACTCATCAAACAAGCCAAAAATGTCAAAAACAATTGTTAAAGTCATCTGAATCAGTACAATGTAAAATTATAAACGGCAGTGTGGATTCAAGCTTCAATGTTCTTGAATGTATTGGTATTGAACCAGAATTACGGCTAAGTTTATTGTTGAATTTAACGAAACGATCTGGAATAGCAGAAGTTCTTAATTGTCCTCATCGTATAGATCAGTACACTCGCTTCTTATACTATTCTTGGACTTACGGTAAACAACAATTTCTTGAAAATGAGGCATGGATCCTGGAAAACATGGCAATATGAAATGCTCTACTTAATGCTACTCATATGATTACTTCGATAAGTTTTGGAATCCATGCTGTTATTGTTTTTCAGTTACCAAGAGAAGATACCATTACCAATAAGATCGATCGAATATTGGAAAAAATTCGTGATCAGCTTTTGAGAGAAGAAAAGAGCATGTTGACGCTTACTTGTGACGACGACGCTTTACTAGGTAAAACTTTCAATACAAAAATTTACTCAAATATATCTAATTTAACTTGTTCATTCAACATTTCTGATCTTTTTTTTGAAATCTATAGTTTCAAAAAGTACTCAAAATATTTTTACCCATTAAGCTATACTCTTCGATCGGTCGCAACCTTAGATTCACCTGATAGAAGAACAAGTATGACGTTACTGTATCCTTTACAAACGAGAAAAGTCGACCAATTTAGACTCACCTTGCTTAGTCACAGACAGTATTGAACAAAATTTACTTCAATTGAGAAATTTGTTAAGATTTGCCGGCACATCTCTGGATGAACATATACCTGGTTTATTGAATGTACATTTCTTCGAGAAACTTAAGAAAGCTTATACTTGATGGTTCAGCCTGAGAAGTATATATATGAATAAAATTCAACAATTTTCTAAATTAGTAATTGATGCCCGCAGTGATCTTGAGAAAACTCGTGAAATTAACCAAGCACTTCAGGATCATGTACAACGAACAATGAAAAAGGATATTCAAGAATTAATTCGGAAGATTAGTGACTTAGAAACAAAAGGGCATTTGATTACAGATTTGTGGCAGCAAAAATTTGAATATAAGAATGCAGCTAAATATAATATCGACAAAAGTGATAATATAATAACGATTGAACGCAAGCTTGTAGGTAATGATTGACGTAAGCTGATTCTCTGTTCCAATGATAATCTAAATGAAAACAATCCTTCAAAACTTAAGGGCTTTCGTCGAATATTACGTGAAGAACAGAGGAGTAATTTGACGTTACACCTTATCTATGCTGATTTTTCTTATTTTTCGTTTCGACTGAAGGACAGGCAAATATTACCGTCCAATGAAATTGACTATAGCGAAAATCATTCGAAGCAGCAAGTATCCTCTCAAATTAGTGGCCCTCCCACTCCTCGATTTTTACCAGTACCATCTGAATCAGTGTTAGTACCAAANCGTTTCTACATCTAATAGATTGCTTATTAGTTTATATTTTTTAAGAACTGTAAGAATAAATATTGATTAATAATTTCTCATACATAGACATGGTGATAGAATGCAACAAAACAATTACAAATGTATTTATGAATAAATAATTATGAGTTTTTTAATTTCTTCTTTTAAAATATGCTTAAATGTATTATATAAGAATAGTTAACAACTGTAGTAATGAATATTGATTTGACACATTTTATTTCGTATGTGTTTTGATGATTATTGTATTAAGAAATACGTTTTGTTCTTTCTCATAAATTGAAAACTTCTTGTTTTATTTAACTTGCATATACAACAAGAAAGTTGACACTTTTTACTCTGCATGTGATTAAAGAAAAAAAAAGGAATTGTTTTTTTCTTTGACAAAAAGGAAGAATACTTTTCTCTTTGTGTTCGATAAGAATTTTCTCGTTCTATTAAAAACATCAAAATGAAATTACAGCTAGACATTTTTTTTCTTCATTGCTTAGCTGTTTAGGAAGCAGCAGAAAAACACGTGTGTCAAGTAATATTCATTGGAGTCAAAGCAACACATCTTTTATCAAATCTCTCAGCATTAAAAGTGTTGACAAACAGGAGATGTGAAGGTATGTAGGAAGTAATGGAATGGTGACATTTATTTGTTACATATAAGAACTTCTTTTTCTCGAAACTCGATTTTTTTTATTAATAACTTCATTCCAAGTCTCTCAATAGGGAGTAAAAAAAAGTGTCATTTTTTTCAAATAGTAATAATAAAATCATATGTTTATACAATTAAAACATCTTATAATACCAGTATGATTTATGTATTCTTTCTTACATGTAAATTCTCTTTTCAGAATTTATCGTAATTTAGAAGACTAATTTTTCATTCACAAATATAATGGTATGTAGATGCCTTAGTTACACACACTCACTAATTAAAAAAGTTCGGCAGTGTTTGTAGAGATTACTGGAAAGATAACTGTACTTGTCATCTCTTAAACCTTAATAGATGATGCACTTTGATTCATATTTTTATCTCACTTTACATGGAACTAGGTCTTTTTCGAAATTTGTTTTTAATTAAAGTATGTCAATGCATTTTTATTCAGGACATTTTTTTTGTAATTGCCATTGACGAAGTTAAAGAATATGGCAAAGTCAGACAATAGAACCCCGACCAAACTACCATCCAGTGTCATCGAGCGTAGGGCTATTAATCGAACCGGACTTCTTGGTTCTCTCTATGATGGATGTCGAGATCATGCAATTCAGCATGCAAAGATGAGCTGTCAAGAACAGTGGGTCAATTCATCTGAACCAGCAAAATGTAAAATTATAAATGGCAATATGGACTTAAACTTTAATGTTCTTCAATGTATTGGTATTCAACAGGAATTACGATTAAGTTTATTTTTGACCTTAACAAAAAGATCTGGAATAGCAGAAATCCTTCAATATCCTCATCGTATAGATCAATACACTCGCTTTTTATACTATTCTTGGACTCGTGGTAGACAACATTTTCTCGAAAATCAGTTATGTATCCCGGAAAACAAGGAAATATGGATTCCTCAACATAATGCTACTCACATGATTGCTTCAATAACGTTCGGAATCGATATTGTTCTCGTTCTACAGTTACCTCCAGAAGATGCCGTTGCCAATAAGATCGATCGTATACTTGAAAAAATTCGAAATGAGCTTCTGAGAGGAGAAAACAGTATTTTGAAACTTACGGCTGAGGAAAACGATTTACTTGGAAAAACTTTCAACATAAAAATTTACTCAAATATACCTAGCTGAAGTAGTTTAGCCAATGTTTCTGATGTTTTTTCTGAAATCAATAAGATCAAGAAGAATTCCGATTGTCGTTATTCGTTAAGTTATACTCTTCGACTGGTCACAACGTTGTTTTCTGCAGATAAAAAAACAACTTTTAAATCGTTGTATCCTTTACATGCGAGAAACGCTGAGAGATTTAGACTGTTATCCTCGTCACTCAAAGACAAAATCGAACAATATTTGCTTCAGTTAAGAAACCCGATAGAATATTTAGATGCGTCTCTAAATGAAAGTATACCAAAGTTATTGTGTGAACATCTCCAAGAGCAGCTTAAGAAAGTTAATATTCAATGGTTAAACTTGAACAAAAAATATTCGCGCAATGTTAAACCATTTTCGAAATTAATAATTGATGCTCGCAGAGGTCTAGAAAAAGCTTACGAATTTTATCGAGCACTTCGTGATAATGCACAAGTAACAATGGAAAAAGATATTAATAAATAGTTTCGAAATGTCATTAACTTAGAAAAAAAAGGACATCTGATCACAAGTTTGCGGCAGCGAGAGTTTGAATATTGGAATGTAGCTGAACACCATATCGACAAAAGTAATGATATGAAAACGGTTGAACGCATACTGATAAGCAATGATCGCCGTAATCAGATTCTCTGTTCTAACGATATTTTAAACAAAAACAACCACTCAAAATTAACCGATCTACGTCGAACATTATCTGAAGAATGTAAGACCAACTCGGAGTTACCCCTTGTCTATGCTGATTTTTCTTATTCTTCGTTTCCGTTACATGATATGGTCATACTACCATCGAATGAAATCGATCATAGTCAAAAATACTCAGAGCAGAAAGTATCTTCTCAAGCTAGTGTTTCTGAGGTTTCTTCCACTCCACTATTATCTCCATCACCAACGTTATCAAACGATGATACTATTAATATTCTTCTTCTTGGTGAAACAGGAGTGCGTAAATCAACTTTTATCAATGCTTTTGCTAACTATATCATATTTAATTCATTTGAACAAACAGAATCAAGTGAACCGATTGTAATCATTCCTGTCTCATTTATCATGACAATTGGTGATAATTTCGAAGAATGTATAGTCAAATTTGGTGAAGTCGATAATTTTAACAATGAAAATTTCAACACTATTGGTCAATCTGTAACACAACATTGTAAATCTTATGTATTTGCTCTTAATAATGGTAATGAAAGAAAAGTGAGAATTATTGATACACCTGGTTTTGGTGATACACGAGGTCTTGATCAGGATGATCGAAATATGGAACATACTTTACAATATATCAATAATCTTNTCTTTCGACAATGATTGCTCTCATTCAAACAACACAATGAACTATACGTCCTGTTTAGGTAATCCCGTTTTTATTTTACTTTCTTTTACTCTCCATAAAAAGACAAAAGGAAGTAAATGCTTGAACAACGAATCAAACTCATGACTAAAAATTGATTAACCGAGTGAATGCGGGTGCGGGTGTCGGTGTGAAGGAATGTGCGTGAATTTGGATTTGATCTTCTGTCCTTGAACATTAAGACCAACACTAAAGCCATACCCACATTCTATTGTTTTTTTCAAATTTTATAACTTGTATGAGCAAGAATCTTCTAAATTGAAAAAGAGAAGTTAATGATGTTTTGTCATGGTACAGTTTTTATTAGCTCCAGTGTAAATTTATTCTTAATTAATGTAATTTAATTAAAAGTTTATATTCATTAATGAAGATTGAACTTGTCAATCGAAACGTTTGGAATAAAATAAATAAAGTATACTATGAAGAAAACCTATTTATATACAAATAAAGAAACATAATTTAACTTCGTATTGGTATCGACTGCTTAATAATGCGTTATGTATGATTTTCCTTCAAAAAAATGTTAAAAATCGGCATCTTCCTCAATAGAAATAGAAATATGTGAAAAGATTTTCAAAGAATAAAGTGCACCATTGTGAACAATTTTTTTTTAATTTGGATCATTGATCCACCTACGCAATATTACTTAAGTAAATAGTATGGTTTTCACATTTATCTTGATTATTGGCTGTTCAATTCCACACTTTGTGAAGACATATACAATTTTGCTGGTTTATTAAAATTAAAAAAAACTAATATTACAAAATTTTTCGACATTCATGTAGAAATGAAAAAGATGTCAGCCATTACTGGATTGACAGTTTACCAATCAGCATACCATACTCAGCATCCTCCAACTTTGACACCCTGAACCCAAACTCCAGTAATATTTCTATCATCTCCTGCATTCACCCATTTCTCAAATATAATGTCCATTTCATCCTCGTTCCAATAATCAAACGCTTGACTCTCCTTGTTACAATCTATAAGTAATGCATCAAATTGTTTTCCCACTTCAAAACTTCCAATTTCTGAATCGATATTCAAAGCTCGTGCACCTCCAAGAGTGGCCAAATAGAAAGCGAATTTAAAATCGATAACAGCATCTTTATGCTCAGGAAAACATGGTAATGTAGCATTTGAACGATCAAAAGAGACAAAATCCATCGTTCTGTGTGCAAAAACAGCAGCTCGCACGACAGGAAGCATGTTGCTTGAATATGCTCCTCCAATATCCGTTCCCAAACCAACATTCAATCCTCTTCTTGTAAGATGTTCTATTGCCGTGACTCCTTTGGAGAAAAGAAAGTTTGCAACTGGGCAACTGGCTAATCCGCTTCCACTTGTAACCATTTCGTCAACCTCATTGTCTGCCAAATAAACTCCATGAGCAAAAACTGCTTTGTTTGTCAAGAGACCAGTTTCGCGAAAGATGCCTACATCTCGTCCGTCACCGATGCTTGGATAAAGATAATGTACAAACTCAACCTGGTCTGCTGTCTCTGCAATGTGTGATTGTACGTGAACATCGTATGTCTTCGCTAATTGTCCTAATTGTGAAAGTAAATTTATCGAGCATGTCGGTATAAATCTGGGAGTAATGACGGGATGTATCAACGCATTCGTCCCAGCAATGTCTTTTCCTTTTTGCATATGGTGAACATAATTGATAAATTCTTCTGTATTTCGAACACTTTCATCTGCCGTCTCGATATAAAAATCCGGTGAATTTTGATCTGCACATACTTTGCCAATATATGCACGTTGTCCTTTTTCTTGGCAAATGTCAGCTAGAATTTTTGTTGCTTCAAGGTGTATCGTTGCAAAATACTGAGCCGTCGTCGTGCCATTGCGCAATAATCTAGAGACCAATTTCGTATAAAGATCTCGAGCGTACAAAGGATCAGAACATCGAGCTTCGTTTGGAAAAGTGAATTTACGGAGCCATTCAAGAAGAGGAACTTCTGTTGCACTCCCTGCTTGCCGATACTGAGGAGCGTGACAGTGCAAATCGACAAATCCAGGACAGATAAATTGACTTTCATTTAGCTTGACGAATATGAAGTTCTGGTATTCGTCAAGATTTCGACTAGCAGATGATTCCATAATTTCGATTTTGCCTTTGTTTACAACACAAACATGCTGTTTTCTAATTCGTAATGTCAGTGGATCAGGTGTATCTATTATCGTTCCGTAAAAGACGTATTTGTGGTCGGTCATTGTACAGATTTTTTGACAGGTTAACGTGACCTACCAGCAGTGGTAAGAAAAAATTCTAAAACGAAAAACATTTGTTTACGGTTTTGTTGTTCAACTTCTGTGTGTACATTTTGTCAGAAAGACGAATTGAGCTTTTCAATTCGAATCTCAGGCATACAAACTTTCCACCATTTTTATACTTTCATCTGTAGATCAATATAGAAACTCCATGATGTGCAATAAACGCTAATGAAAGAATACTTTCAACTGACAAATTGCTTTCTGTTCGAAACCTAGTGGGTTATACGTTATTCACTATGAAGATTCCACACAGATCTTTCAAGATTCAGTTTTCTGTGAAACCAGTCTTCCAAAAACTCTAACACAATAACAAAAATCTTTCTTAATGGAGCATGGTTGTAGCACGCAAATTTCTCATTAAAATGAGACATCTTCCAGCTCTACACGACCTTTTCTTTCAAAATTATAGAATTTATAGAAAAATCATTAAATATTTTCTGAAAGACTGATTTTCCAGGAAACCAGATTTTCGAAGGACTATGAATAAATCCCTTAGTCATATTTGAAATCGGTCGGTAAACTGTACATCCCAAAATGATCGACGTTTCTCGTGAGTCGTTTCAAGGGCTGGAATTTTCAAGGTAAACTTCTACCACGATTTTGAAACCCGACAGCTAAATGAAAAAATATTTCCAGCTCATTGTGTAAAAAATGGCCATCCGCATGAGAAAGTCCTATACAAAGGGTAGACGAAGCAAATCATTTTTTTTAGTCAAGTTCTTTCGAAGATATGACTGTCACACTTTTCCAATTGTGGCCATGAGATAGTCATATCTTCGAAAGGAGTTGATAGAGAAAGCTGACTTGTTTTGAGCAATTTTATATCTATGATATCTAGGTGTGACTAAAATTAGAGGTCGAAACGTCGAGATTGATTTTTCGACTGTTTTCCTACTCTTTACATAGGACTTTCTCATAGGCAAGGCACTTTTCTACACAATGAGCTGGACATTTTGTTTTCTTTGAGCTAACAGGTTTCAAATCATGGTAGGAATTTACCGTGAAAATTTCAGCCCTTTAAACAACCCACTAGAAAACGGTCAAAAAAAAGATTTATCAGTTGGGGATGTTTTCTTGTTCGTGATAAAGAAGCTTTCCAGAAAGCTACACTGGATCTCTGAAAACGTTATGAAAGATGATCAGAACTACAAAATATCAATAACGACATGATCTCTTGAATGCCTATTTTTAAAAACGAATGTATAGCACAGTAGCTACAGATATCAACTCATATGTTTGGTATGCATGCGCGTAGCCTTATTTTCCTCTACCGAATGAGATTTTGATCGAAAAAGTCGACTATCTACACATTCAGATAATTAACAAAAGAAAGAGCTCTTGGTCTTGCTTAACTCTAGCCTTAATACTCGAAATATATCACATATTCTTCAGTTTTCTGTCGTCTTTCACCTTTCGCATCATTTAGAGTTTCAAAATAGAAAAAAACGGAAAGAAAAAGTCAAATACAAACACTAGTTTAAGAGTTTTAAGATGTAAAAATTTGAATTCATATGTAATTTCGAATGCTCTTTCGAATAAGCACAATTTGGAGAAACACTTGATTTTTAATATACAATAATGTATTTTAATGGTTGTCAAAAATTCCTTTGAATTAGTACAATACAAAAGCATAGATAGGATTGTTCGTAGTTATTCGTCAAGGAAATTTATTAGATTTAGCTTTTGTGACAGAAAAATTCTTCTTTGGATGGATGTTGTGAAATAGAAAAAAATGGAAAGAAAAACAACAACTACTATGCGGTGTATAGACTGGTGTGAAATCTTTTTCAAGGGAGTACAGCTTCAAGCACAAATGATTTAAAAATTAATTATATACAATTTGTATCTGGTGCATCAACTCATAGTGGTGCTTTCAGTAAAAGTCCTATAACTTCATTAGAACAAAACATTTTTTTGCATTGTGTTGATTTTGTTTTAATCAGAAATTATTGCTCTTCACTACTTAACTGCAAAATCAGAACTTTGACTGTATTTTCTGTTTTTTACTTAGGCACATTATTGAAAACGGACACAACTTTTTTGAAACTTCGTTCTTGAACACATCATCTGCTTAAAAAAATTTTTACACACGACGGGAAAGAGCACAGTTAAAGGTACAAAAAGAATCGAGTGCTCACTTTTTACCGAAACGAATAGCAAAAGAAAAAAGGTCAAGTTGTCAAAACACCAAATATACAATACATAGTTCTCTTGATTGATATTCTCAAACAAAAGTTTAGAGAAAAATTGAAAATACTAAGAGACTCATTCATCATGATCCACCCGATAGAAAATTTCATAATTCTATAACTTATAATCATCCTATGGATTACCAGTTATACTCGTTAATCCCGTTTTCGATGAGCTTTCATTTGGTTTATAATTTATTTTTATGCCCTTTTTTGTTGCAGCTGTACCCTACTAGCAAAAGATTTCGCATCACCCTATATCAAGAATAAAAAATGATATGATTTTTTTCTTCTGCTTTCAGTTTAATGTTCGCTCTTCTATACTGTCGATATAAAAACAAATATTTGAAAAAGATATCTCACACTTATCTCTTAGCTTTATAACACAAATAGGTGATGTTAAATGCAAAACAAAGTTTAATGTGAACAATTTTATAAAAAATCTTTACTTGAGTCAGCCATGGTATATGAGGATTTCCCAATATTCT